AAAAATTAATAAATGTGCATATTGGCAGAATAAATTTTCTACGTAATATCCTTCCACCCATGCAATAGTCCCTCATAAATCTTGCTTATCTGGAATTTTTTAGCATTTTTTCATTGAATTTTGAACAATGTATATTGTTTACTTTAAACGTTATAAAAATTGAATTATAATAAATAGTTTTGAAGTAATATGTTCTGTTTGAACTTTTCTAAAAAGCTGACGAGTGACATACCTTAAGTCGAAGTTGCAAAATCTGGTTTCCTGGACGTTGGGCTATCAAACTTCACATATGTATTCATTGTGACAAGCCCTTTCAATTGGTGTAAAAAATATTTGACCTTCTGATTTTGACCTTAAAGTTTGACCAACTTTGAAAAACACTTTGACCTTGGCAATAACTCTTAATCGTTAGAACTCGGATTTCATATTATCTAAGTTTATTCCTTGTGACAAGACCTTCCTTTGGATACCAACAAGTTTCGCCTATTGATCTTGACTTTTGAGTTTGACTTGCATTTGAGAAACTTCAGCCAATGAAGTAATCTTTCATACCGCCGCATCAGTGTTTCTCAAAATACAAAATAAACGTTTACATGTACTATTTTTTCAACGTCAGAAAACTTGATTAAAATAAAAAAAAAATGGCACTTCGGATGAAATATAATTTAAGAGCATTCGATCTAAGAAAATTGTAAGGGTCGCAAATTGAGTCGTTACCATATAAATACTCCTGGATTGTAAATGAAATGAAATTGGATTAAAATCTGCTGTCTGCTCCTTAATAAACACTCCTTCTCCTAGACATTGGTCTGAATAGTGAAGGAAGTCTCCATTCAACAGTTGTGTCAGGAATCAGTGTTTTCCTTTTGGATTTACACATAATCCTTATTACTGTAAAAATCAAAGCTTTCAAAAGATAAAGATTATGTCAGCAATTGATTACCATGAAATAAACACGGCGGATGTCCTGCACGCCATCTGAGGTCATTGATATCAAAGGTGTTTTATTTCTGTAATACGACTGCTGACAGAGAAAGGTTTTTGTGCGATGTCTATAGATGGGTATTTAATGTCCACTGAACGTAGAATCGTCACGTCAAAAATAAATATAGTTATTCTGAAATAGTTTGATTCGAGGTGATTTTAATTGGTTCAGTGCTACATTTACAAATCTAGCCAATTTCTTCAGAGTATAATCATTTGCTTAAGTGTAACATTGGATGTTTGTCAATAGTTATTTCACATTAAACATGTTAAATAAATGTATAGATGTGTGTGTGGAATATTGTCGATTAAAACCTCTGATAACTCTTTGCTTGAGCTTAGAGGAATAAGGGCGATTGACTGCTTTAGGTAAACTGAAGAAAACATAAAACAAACAAAAATTTATGCAGATTGATGTACATGTTTTAAAACTGATTTTAAATGCAAAAGACAAAAATAAGTAATAAATCCCTAACAAAAATATGTTTTTAAAGCTCAGATATACGATATTTTGTATAATGGTCTTAATCTGATTCTTTTACATTTTAACATTTTGACAAAATCTCAGCAAATACTCCCACTTTATCCAGCAAATATAACTCGGGTTACCTATTGAAATGTAAATCTATGATAAATACAGCTGATTTTTTGACATAGGTTACCTGTGTTGTTTAACTTTAATTATCTTTTAAAATGATCAGCTATCATTAAAAAAATCTTTTCTCAAAAAAAAAAAAAAATCAGACAACATAAAGCCTTCTGGAACTTATCGGCGATAGTTAATGAGATTATTTATTAAAATGTTTTACTGTAATTTCAGAAGAACAAGTAAGCATCCCATGCCTGTATACCTGTACGGCCAAGGTGTGTCCTTTCGGCTACTTACCTGTCGGTTGTCCCAGGTGTCAATGTGCTCCTGATCCATGTCTGGTAATTAAGAATCTATCTGACTTAAGATCTGACTTTCATCATTCCTCTATTTTCATTCTGCACATCATGAAACCGGTTTCTTGTTTGAATTCTTCTTTTTTTTTTTGTAATGTTTAGTGCTCTTTATAATTAACAGATTATTCATATTGTAAACAATTTTTATCTTTAAAAATAAAATAAAGTTTTCCTCAATATTGTTAGAATAATAAAGAAGATAAATCAAGTGAATGGAAATGTATCTCAAAATACAAAGGACTAATTAATAATCTTATTGAAGGCATTGTTTTTTAATATGTAATTTACAATTGTGAAAAAAATTGTTTGGATATGAATATGAATAGTCGCTTGTCAGTTAAAAAGAGTAAAAAAAAATGATGAAATTTAAAATATATGCACACAAAGTTAACTGAACGCTTTATTTTACAGTTTACAAACTGTCCTAGAGGATTTACATGCTCCTCTATTCCCTCAGACTGCGGATATTCAAAGTGCTCTCACAAAGCCGCCTGTTTACTGAACACCACGTCTGGAGGTAAATATAATGACTAATTTACACATGATCCTTTTTTATAATTATAACTTCGGGACTGGTTACAGATGATTGTATTTCTGATACATATTTTATAATGCTTGTTCTGTTTGATATTGTGAATTTTCTTAATTTAAGGATACCTAACACAAACAAAAATTAGAAGCGTGGATTGAAATTTTTTTTTTTTGCTGATTTTGAACAGAAATCACATAAATAATAAATCTATAAAAATTTTAAAGAAATCGTAAGTTTTCTTTGATGCTCCAATGTGTGACTTTGTGGCGTTTTTTGTGTACACATGTAAATCTACACAAAGTTTTACATACAGTTTTAATATTGTGGGAAAATCTTTCAAAAATCTCCATTTACTCGTCAGACATTATTCAGGTTACCTATTTTCATATATAAATCTATAAGAAATATTGTTTATTTCTGGAAAAAAGAAAAACTTTATGTTTTGTGTTTTTGTGTTATTAACCTTAATGCTTCATTGAAAAGTGATTTTTTTTTGTTAACAGATTATACTTTTAGAAAAGATGATCAGAACGTTGAAGAAAACATTGCAAGTTATATAAAAACAGATTCCATCGAGATTATTTCTCATTTTTAAAAGCCAAAGTCTACCAGTCTTTTTCATATGAAGTTTTTTCCATAAATGATGCAAATTATATTTCTATCACATTTTATATTATATGTTATACAGGGTCAGAAAATTAAGAAAAAATGTCACAACATCTCACTTCACTTCCCCTTTTTCTTGTGACGGTGCGGTATTTGATATTTATTCCAATATAGGGTACAAGCACTAAAAAACATTACACGATATCCTTCTCCTTTTTCTTGCGACAGTGCGATATTTGATATTTGTTCCTTACAGAACAACCTTGTGGGTGTAGATCTGATTTTTCTCCTGTGTGTGGTTTGGATGGGAAAACCTATTCCAATGACTGCGTACGATATTGTGTGTAAGTTCACTCAAGAATTTCTTATTCTTCGCAGTTCCCATCGTCGCAAACCACGGCTAAAATGTATGATCCTCTCACATTCTCAGGAGAGAGCTATATGCGGATTCCAAACCGTGGCTTTAGACGATGGGCAGTTCTCACAATGAGGTTTTTCTTATCTGTGTTCCTAAAACTGGTTAACATTTAAAAGTTTATCTATTAAGTAAATGGCGACTTATTTTCTTATTTGCAGTGGGGCATTAAAGAAACACGACGGATTTTGTCACTGTGAATGTATCCGTATTTATGACCCTGTGTGTGGAGAAGATGGACAAACCTATATAAACAAGTGTTTTCTACAGTGTAGGTATGCAATAGAAACCAAATAAAAAGTTTGTGGATATGTTACTAGCATTGGCGGGAGAATGGGACAGGGGTGATCCTTCAGTATTAAAAACGGGAATAAACTAAAATTAACAAATTGCAGGGTCCCTTTTAATACTGGAATGAATAATCCCTTATTCGCCACTGCGTATTAAATTCATTTTCAGGGATAAAGCTATAAAGGAGAACCATCTTTGTTCCTGCCAATGTCCACTGACAAAGAAAAGTGTGTGTGGTGTAGACGGACAAACGTACATTAATGAATGTGTTATGAAGTGTGCGTAAGTATCGTATATTCATATCATTAGAAATCATTGATAAAAACGAGAGATAATTAATTTTCAACCTCAGTATTATTTTTTTAAATTAAAACGTTTCAGAGGTGTTCCTAAAAGACAGGACGGAACGTGTGAATGTTTGATGATGTGTAATGCTGTTCCCAGACCAGTTTGTGGAAGCGATTTCATTACCTACAGAAACGACTGCTTTAGGAATTGCGCGTATGTTAACATCTTTAGTACACATACACTGTATATCAAATTTAAGTTGAAAGTCATGTTTTCTTTCAGCTTTATGCATATTCGTTGTAAAATAAAAAAAAAAAATGATTTTTCATTTTTTATAATAATAAATAAAAAAAAATGTCCTCTCTAAGGTAATTTTAATATTAAAAATAATAATAAACAAGTCAAATTTTATTATAAGTACTATCAATCTTTTTCAGTGGTGTAGGTCTTTCCATGAGCGGTCCTTGCAGAAGGCTACAAAGAAAACCGAACCCTGGAACACAATCACAAATTAATCGTCAGCTCTGACTCGTATCATTGTATAATTTCAAAATAAAAAGAACGATAACCCCTGTTTCGTTAATTTTTGTGACACATTAATGGAATTAAGTAGTGAATGCATACTTATCTATATGTCTAAGAAAACAATCTTTTATGATCATCGGAAATAAATAAAAGAAGCTCTAAAACGTTTGTTTGTCATTTTCATACGTAAAGACTATTTTTCCCCACATAAATGTATACGTATTTCCAAACTGTTTATTTTAAGAACAAAATATATACACTGAAAAAGAAATACTAATATATATTGTAAAAAAAAAATGATAGTATATTAGACAGGGAATAGACAATGCAATGGAAATGTGTGTTTTATTGAATTTAAATGAAATATTGATATTATTCTAAAAAAAATAATCACATACAAGAACATTAGGTATATGTATACAATTTTAAATCTATGTGAATACGAGCGTGATGTCATCAAAAATAAATATGTCTCTAATTGATATTGAAAACACTTATGGTTGTAATTCACAAATTTTGGGACTTTACTAGACTGTTTCTATTTTATTTGTTCAAGGGGGGCACAATTCACTTATATCAATGTTAAAGGAAATTTTACTTTTGCAAACCTTAATTATCAATTAGTGAGGACTATGTTTGCGTTATAACTCTCCAGCACTAACTCTACACATATCCACCCGGTGTTTGCCCCTATTTATATACATGAAAGCATTCTTTGGAAGAGAATTCAATCACGGTCGACATTAAACTATTTCTATGATGGACTCAGCTATGTTCAAGTGGCTCAATTAAAGGCCTGCAGCTCGGTATAAAATGCTACGGAGATCACTTGGAAGAAATGCGAAAATATTCGATACATGAAACATATGAAGATAAACAACAGTATTCATGATCAAGAGTCCATATAAACGATACAAAATAGGAGCAGAGCAAACACGGACCTCCAAAACATCAAAGGTAGGATCGGGTGCCATGGAGAAGTGAGCATCCCCTGCCCCTACCGGTCACACCTGCCGTGTGCTCCTTGTCATGATCAGGTAATAATGGAAAAATCCGTCGTCAATATAGTGTATAAATAATGGACTAACAACACGTATAAAAAACGTCAGTCAGCATTTGGATCAATGATAAATTGTATTTACAGACAAAGTCATTGCATCGACCATTGAACTTTCGAAATGATGACTTTAAACGAGACTGCTGATACTCTTGTTTCATCAACTTGTTTGTCCATAATTACCTCGCTTTTAAAATTGTTCATACGTAGAGCCTGCTCATGCATATTGAATCAACCGAGATATAGAATCTCCGCATGCAGGTGATGAAGGTATATCGCTGCATAAGTAAGGGAAGTTGACGATAGAAATTCAAAGTTAAAGTCATCATGTTTATCATAGAGCTTGGTTTTTAGGTAATCATTAACTTCTTTTTCAAGTAAAATATATAAGAAGGGCTTTATTTGTATGAAATAAGTCCCTATTTGTGCTTTGCTCCTATTTTGTATTGTTTTGTGGACTTTTGAGCTTGAATACTATTAGTTATCTCCATATATTTCATAGCAAATAGTCCTATTCGTTCGCAATTAAATTTTCAAATTGTCCAATCTAGCTTTAATTTGGGATTTTATATAGGTTTATCGAAATCATTCTGGAATACTTTTATGGTGTTGAATATTTTCTAATAAAAATATAAATATAAGAGCAGGCAGAAAAATGAATATATGACCAGTCTTAAAACAATATTATGAAGATTATCACATATCTGTTGTTCTTGTAGTCAGTTATCATTGCTCAATTATTTCTACCTTCTTAAGTATCACTTCTTGTTTTTCATAGATGTGATCTTCAGTTTTGCTGTGATTGACCACGTCGTAGATATCCGCATTAATGTGTGAGTACATGGATTCACATTGAACTCTGTCATTGGTTAGTACAGCTGAACTTTCTTCTGTTGGCAACATCATTTCTTCAAGTAATTTTTCTTGAGGCTGTTGCTGATGTATATTTCTTATAATCTCAGATTCTTTTGAGCTTGTTTTTATTGGATTAACACATTGAGGATCTTCCTTGGATCTAAACAATATATATCCTTATAATGTATACACTCAGTTGTATACTTCTAAAATGTTAAACAACCAACTAAATCAGAAGTTAAATGATTTTAAAGTTGTGATTTTTTACCATGTCATGTAATTCTGTAGAAATTTGCATAGTACTTTATCTTTCAGACTATTGTTGTGTTTCACTGATTATTTAAATTTGTATGACATAATTATATTCGTATAATTTTTCCATTGTGTCGTTTGAAATATATATGTATGGATATATAACTTGTTACATCTCATGATAATGTTTACTTACGCAAAACTGTCTTCTTTATACATTTCTATAAAAGTGTACAAGTTTAACATGCTGATATTATTTTTATTGGAAGATACACAAAAACAGCCGCAAACATAACGAACAAGAGGCCCAGGGGCCACAGCGCTCACCTGAGCACATCAGGCTTGAATTTAACCCCCCCCCCCATCTTTCCTGGCCCAGCGGTTTGGAGAAGAAG